TATTTACAGACGAACGTTTTTGTGCCTTGATGAAACATGGCGTGTTGCTTGTAATTCAGGCGAAACTCAACTCAAAATTTTATTACTTTTCGGTCTCTATGGCAAAATCCAAGCAAGTGTGTGGCAAGAGTACGGAAACTTTGAAGTTCTGAAACGCTGCTATATCCAAATATATCCAGCTGGTTTTTTACTATGTTATGTAAAAGCTATCGATCTTCAACATATGTAAAATTTAGACTGGAGTAATGTGGAGTACTCGTGAAAGAAGAAGCGGAACACGGCTTGGTCATGATAAGCTGGACATAACCTGCATTCGACACTGTCTTACTTCCCTCAAATTTGGGCAGGCTACGACGAAACTACTTAAGCATCATTACAACAGACGTAAACGTATTGACTTTTGGGTCTAAAACATCAAAAAGGCTTTTGAAAATACACCCCTGGTGGCTCAAAAATAAAGAAAGAAAACTTGATTTCCGGTTCGTTGAGAGGAATTTTTTGGCAGCCATTAATCTCACCGGAAGCGCGCAAGGAGCGCTCGTGCCAGTCCTTCTCCGCATCACACATTGGACCAAGAGCAGACTGCCCGTTTCACTCCTTCCGGCCTTTTTCCGCCCTGCCGTAAGTCTTGGGATCCGCGCGCACCTATGATATGGGTAGGCTCTTACCGATAGTGCTCGTAAAAAAAGTATTAAATGCTTAAAGCAGTGCGTGTTTTTTGCCAAAAAAAGTGCTAAAATAATGTTAATTTTTTTAAAAAGTGCTCGTGGGTTACATAAAAATGCTCACTTTTTTTTTCGATTTTTTTAAACATAGAATATTACATTTTTCANCTGGTTTTTTACTATGTTATGTAAAAGCTATCGATCTTCAACATATGTAAAATTTAGAGTGGAGTAATGTAGAGTATTCGTAAAAGAAGCAGCTGATCACGGCTTGGTCATGATAAGCGGGACATACCTGCATTCGACACTGTCTTACTCCACTCAAATTTGGGTAGCCTACTTAAGCATCATTACAACAGACGTAAACGTATTGACTTTTGGGTCTAAAGCATCAAAAAGGCTTTTGAAAATACACCACTGGTTGTTCAGAAATAAAGAAAGAAAAGTTGATTTCCGGTTCGTCGAGAGGTGATTTTTGGCAGCCATTAATCTCACCGGAAGCGCGGAAGAAGCGCTCGACCCAGTCTTTCTCCGCATCACACATTGGACCAAGAGCAACCAAGAGCAGACTTCCCATTTCACCGCCCGGCTTTTTTCCGCCCTGACTACGCTTTTGGCAGCCCGCGTTTTTCTGGCGGGAAATAGCATGAAAATCAGATTTATAGCCATTTTGTTTCGGAAACAAGAAGGGGTTTTCCATTTTTGGAAAGAAAACTCATTTCTATATTTTCATGTCAAAAAACGATGGCGGAATTGATATAACTAGTACTTTTTCAAGACAGGGTTTAACTGAAGCAGAGCGTGAAAGAGAACGGCAGAGAGCAAGAATTAACTGGCAAAGAAGATCAAAGAAGTATCCAAGAAGTTAAGAAGATCGCGAGCGGAAAGCTGTAAGTCAGGGCTAGAGAAACGAGAAGAAATAATACCGAACAAACCCATGAAGCTGAGCAAGCGAGGGCTAGAGCCTGGGTAGGCGAAATATAAGCAAAGAACGACGCGAAGCGGAACTTGCCAGGAATAAAGAATGGAGACAAAATTTGAGCTTAAGCTTGTAAATGTAAATGCAAATTTAATGTCAAACACAGGGAGTGCTTGCGCAATCACCCGAGCCAGAAGCTCATGATGTGATAAAGTGCTGGACAATAATCAAGATCGAATTGGAATTTGGAAATGTTGGTTTTTGAGGGGAGGGAAAAACCGGGGTACCCGGAGAAAAACCTCTCGGAGCAAGGAAGAGAACCAACAACAAACTCAACCCACATTTGACTCCGGGTCCCTTGAATCGACGGCGAAAAGAATAGTTCAGTTCAGTCTTCACTGACAACGTTTGCTGGAAGTTTCTGCCAGTGAAGTGAATTGCGGTTAGCGGCTGCGGTAAGCGACTTTTTGTTGTAGAAACTTTCGTCGCGTTTTCTATAAAAATTATCTAGTTGCTTCGGCGAGATAATCTTATCTTGATTCGAAGTTGTAAAGTCTTCCTGATTTGAAAACATGCTGAGTCACTTTATAAATTTTACTGTGTTAATTTCGCTAATCTCTAAAGAATAACACTTGAGTTGCTTTGTCGCAGTTGTTCTAACTTGCATATTGTAAATAGATAGTTTTCTGTCGGTTTTCGCCGATAACCACACTTCTAAAAATAATTAAACTGTATTTTTAAATACTATCCGGCGAGTTGGAAACCAGCTGGAAACCAAGAAAGGTCAGAAAAGTATTTTATGCTCTCAAAGCGGACAGGATTAGGCAAGTTTATATTTGCGGTAGTACATTAAACTTAAACACCGTGAGTCTTCGAAATTTTGGACGTTTTTAACTTGGAAAATATTTATATTTTCCTAGTTCTAGTGGTGGGACGATTTCACTCCATCACTTCTTCACTAGGTCACTTCCTGCTAGACATTTGGAATCCCGGGGAGGGACTCCCACATGAGAAGGTCAGGGATGCTCACCCGACTCGCGTACGCGTATAGGAGCTGCCGAAAACCGGGAGCAACTTTTAATTCTAAAGATGAGTGCTGAAAGTTTTAAATTTTCGTTTACCACCTTTGAATCTCAATGTATTTTACTACAGTACTGATTGTTTCAGTTGTCAGGTATTGACAAACATGGTTGGAGTTATAGAGGGTAAAATCAGTAATAGTAATTGGACCGAGTGTCTCCAATTAGGGCTGCTGGTGGAGTACAATTTTGGAGGTAGTGGCGCGAGTAATTTCAAAATCAGACGAGCGCCAATTGAAGCGCGAGGCCGATTTCAAATTACGAGCACGATCACTCCCTAAATTGTATGACACTAGGTCCAATTATTAATTAATACCAAATGTAACAAATTTCGAAATTAAAAAAGTCTTCGGAACTTTAGGGAAAAAGTCAGCAGCCCTTTCCACAAACATAAAGAATGAAGTCAATGACGTAGGTATCCAATTACAGGTATCCAGTTCTCCGTAGAAAAAAGATTGCGGCTTTACATTTTACCACAATACCATACGAGCCTAATACAGCCTGTAAAGCACAAGAAAAGCCACATTTTTGCAGTATTTGTTAATGTGCTATCGACATTGTGTGTGCTAGGGTTGAAGGTTTTAGAATGTTGCTATACGTTTTCATGAGCGTGTTTTGTTTCCGTGCGTTAAGAATTAAGGGTAAATGTACCAATCGCCATCTTTTTTCCTACGGCGGATTAGAAATAGTTGTAATTGGATACCTGTTATGGACACCCACGTGATCTCGCGCGATTACGTGACAAATCACGATCGAGAATTTTGTTATAGAAATTGACCTGAAGGGAAACGAAAATTGCTTCGAGTTAGCCGGGGGTTCAAGTTACCGTTGGTAAAATTACAGTAAATGTATGACGGAAATCCAGGGGAAATCGATTTTAGGATAAAGGATAGGCCGTGAAAGTCGTCTTCAGAATTTATGGCAAGTACTGAAGCACAGCTCCACGATTTAATATCGCATAGGCATCTTTGAAATAAAAACTCTACTTCTTTTGTCAGGGCTGGTAGAATATGGAAAGTATTTTAAAGTTGACTTTTACTAAACTCTTGGAAAACTCACAGGCTCTATTTTGGCGCATCGAATTGCCTGTCCTTGCATTTCTAAATTAATCCGCAGATTCATTGGTCATACCATGGAAATTCTTTAGCAAACGCGATTCGTTTCTTACGAAATGAAGTTAGATAGCCGGCCATTAAGTTGCACGGAAATGCTACAGAAGAAGGTAGTTCCTTTACGTCACAAGTTATGTTTGGGGTAAGATTGCTCGTGTACCGCAGAAGACCCAGGGTAGCGGCAAGTCGCTCCTTAGGCAGCGAGAGTCTGTTGGCACACAGTATTCACTATGGTCAGTGCCTGGGTCAGTGTACATCATCAAAATTGAAAAAAACGCAGTTGCTAAACTCGACTTTGTTTTTGCTGATTTTATTCACACTAGCACCATACAAACCTCTGAAATAACTTAGAACTATGTATAAAAAAATTTCCAACAATTTAACCTAGAAAACTATAATTTTTAGCAAGCTTCTATTTGTTTTCAGTGAAACAAGTAGCATAACAAATTTGCTTTCGTAAATAAAGAAATTATCTTTCGAAGACTTTTTTCCTTTAAACTTGACAGCAACATCTGAAAGAATCATCAACTTGATAATCTTCTTGTTGTACACACCGGTATAAAACAGACATAAATAGCTAATTTGTGCTAACGTACCACCTTTGATTGTAGTAAGAACTGATTGAAATTAACTGCAACCCAACGACAATTCTACAAATAGCACAGCTTTATAACAATTATGGATAATGGACGGATAGATTTCCAAAGGAAAATACCATCTAATCTACCAGAAGTCTTTAAATTTTTCAATAAAATGAGTAAAAGGTTTGAAACATCTCTCAGGCAGTAATCTAAGCGCTTCTACGACATTTTGAAAGCAAGGAGTTACCAAACCTACATAGCTCCTCACTTTGACGATAAATTAAGGGGAACGGAGGGAAAGTAGCAAAGAATGACTATTTCATGCGCCCTTCTGTAACTAAATGATCTTATTCAGACAGAACGGTACCTTGTAAGCCAATACATGGTTTGTTCGTTGTTGCTTCTCGTTTGGCGCGCTTTTTGTGGCCTGAAAAGTTCTGTAAACATGACTGCAAGCAGGCAGTATCTTTCCCCTGTTCATCCTTCAATTAGTGATTTACGTTTTCGTCGTCGGTTCGTTCATAACCTTTCCATCGCACCTCCTATTAAACCTGGTACAGCTGATTTCAGTGTAGGTGTAGACTAGTGTTCTCAATCAAAACGTGATATGCCGTTCATGATCCGACTATAGTCATACAACTCTAGCAAGTATACGCACATGTAGTTAAACTCAGTGACATTGTGTAACCTAAACCAGAAAGTCCGATGATGGTTGTCTAAAATGTCCGGCGAATCATGTTTTGAAAACCTAAGTCTACACACTGGACTGAAAAATATTCTAAGCAAAAGAAAAAATTGTGGATTTGTTAGATTTGCAAACATGCCGTTGGCATGCCATTGTCAAATTAGCTTGTTTAAAACAATCGAGGAAGCAACTGAGCACATGAAGGGAGCCCACGTTTGCAATTTCATGGTCAGAGAGATCCAATTTAGGGGAGGGGTGGGTGGAAACGTTTGAAGAACTTCTTCAGACATTTGGCAGAATGGTATTTCCCCTCGACTGTTATCTGTGTTACGTTTAGCGTAAAACTTACACGAGATTAAAAACTCTTAATGGAGAAAAAATGTTAAACAAACCTACTTAACATGAAATCTAAAACTTAATGGTCACTGAAGGTAGCACAAGAGTTTTCTTATCTCTTGCATTAAACACACCAAGTTGCAATAAAATTCTCATTTTCGGCCAGACGCTGTCGACCCTAGCATGTCGTTCATTAAAAAAATAACCTGCCATAATCCTTAAATGGATAACAGAGAATTTCCTTGCCGTCCAAAGGTACGTTTTTGTGAAAATCTTCACTTAAATCTTAGTCCAAATGTGTCAGATATTTGTCACAGTGCGGACGGGGAAGGTTCTTCTTGAACACCGACTCCATTTTCGACAGGTGGTTCAATTCCACTCTTAGCCACCCCTCCCTCGCTGATTTGAGATGGTCTTTGACGCTTTGGCGGTCTTTGTTTAGATCTTTTCTTGGAATTTCTATTAGCAGATCGTTTACTTGATGGCTTTTTGCTTCGTTTCCGTGAAATGCCTGGTAATAGCTCATTCTGTTCTTTGTTACCGTTGTTTTCCAACTCTGATCTTTCACCTTCCAATTTTGACTCGACCTGTGTTTGGTTTTCAGCAGTCTTAATGACCTGTTTGTTTCCGTCCAATGAACCATTGTTTAAATACGGGCTTTGTTTTTCCAATGTCTTTTTCTTTGCTTTTCTTAGTTTCTTGGAGGTTTTAGCAGTTTCCATTTCAGAAGAATTATGTTCTCGTCCTCCGTTTTTTCGTCGCTTCGCAGATTTTTTTCCTGTCGGTTTCAATGTAAATATCTCCTTTAGATTCATTTCGTTTGTATGCTGTTCATGTGTAAGGGTCGTACAAGATGACGTGGGCAGAGCTGATGAATCTTTTGTCTCTGAAGACCTCGCGTCAGGTTCCGAAGACTTCACGAGAGCAGTCGTCGCAACATCCTGCGAACCAGTCACAGCTTGTGATGGTTTCTCTACAGTCATCTGCTCTTTGTCAGACCGCTCGTTTTTGAAATTTTCGCTGAAGTGGTTTGAAATGTTTTTCCGTGATTCTGATGTTCTGTCAAGGCTTTTAGAAACTTCAAACTTCTTTGTGTTTTCTTTTGGCAACGGCGAACTTTCCTTGCCAGATTTCTTTTTTGATTTCCTTGACTTTTTCAAGATTTTTTGCTTTTGTTTATCCACATGAGTTTCTTTTTCTCTCTTTCTGTCTACACGTTCCCTATTCTTTCGTCGCTTAGGTGATTTTTCTCTGGATGGTTTTCCAGTTAAATTCATTCCGCTTGTGTACTCTTTACTTGTAAGGCTGGTTGAAGCCGACGTAGGGAGAATTGAAGAAACGTTCGTCTCCAACAAACTCGTGTCGGGTTCCGAAGATTTACCGATGATTGTCGTGGGAGAGTTACCAGAACTCGCCACAGGTGCTACTGTATGTTGTAATTGTTTCTCCACATTTATCTGTTCTCGGTTAGACTTCTTGTTGTCACCGAAATGGCTTGAAACGTTTTTCTGTGACTGTGACATTTTGTTCAACGACACAATTGTCCTGTTTGTGTTTTGTGTTGGTAACGGCGAACTTTCCTCAGCGGAAAATGTCTGTTTTTTTTTCCCGACATACGTTTCTACTTCTTCTCTTACTCTGTTCTCGACAGAAGTCAGCACTTTTCGCCCTTTGGACGCCAATGTCGACTGAATCGTTGACTGTTCTAATATTTTTACTTTTGCCTTCGTTGGCACAGTAGTAGTAAACGGTAAACCCTCCACAGATTCTGTCATTACCGAAGTATGGTTGGCAGCGTTTGATGTATTCACGACAACTTCCGAGCGATAATACCTTTCAGACGTCAAAGGCCTAGCTGAACTTTTTGAAGATGTTTTCACATGTGATGGCAGTGTTGGTGAACGTATCACAGCAAGACTCTCTTTGGTTTTATTGACAGGTTCACGTGCGTGAGATGTTTGCGAGGTTGGTAGTGTTGGTGAAGTGGCATGTTGAGGGTACTTCTTGCCATGGTAATGCGTGCAGTGCTCTCCCTTGCAATCTCTCATTTTGCTGAGCTGTTGATGGAGCTCTGACAAAACGGCAGGGCTCACCTCATCAATTATGTTGTACAGCTAGAACATAAATTTGAAATAAGACGTAAGAATACTGGCAAGTGTTTTTAAGGCCTGGTATTTAACTGCCATTTTATCCAAACACATCTGAACTTGGCAAGCAAACTTGTAGGTTACGTCATTTGTGTGTACTGTTTGTTCGGTACCAGTCTTCCAATCAGTTTTGTCATATCAATATTGAACACAGACATTGTTTTGGCACTGGCATGTGATAGCCAAGTATTTATATGTTCCCCTACAATATGTTAACGTTCACAGTTGTCTTTATGTTTTCTACTGTACCTGGTATCGGTCTTTGCTGAGGTCAAAGTACTCGTAAAAATGTGTTATAAACTCGCAGTAGAGGAAGTTGTGACTAGCATTTATTGTCCGAAGGCACCAGTAAGAGTTATTGGCAGCGTTGGGACAGAAACAAAATTCTCCCCCTGAAACAAGAAACAGATAAAAGGTGCAAAACAGTCAGCATTTGAAGGACTTTGAATAATGATCTACCTCGTAGGAACCCCCGAATATACCATGCATTACAATTTGAATTCCAAACTCGCAGACTTGACTCGGGATGAACATTTTGAGAGCAACATGAATCAGACAACGTGGAATCAAGAAAAGAAAGTCACACACCGTCAGCCAGTTAAGTTTACTTTAGCCTGGTCATTTCAAAAACAAATTTGTGAGTTGATCATAATATTATAGCTTTGAGCTTATTTCTTGATCATACAAATCAGCCTGTAGAACCCCCTGGGACAACAGTACCCTGGGGGAGCATAAGGCATCCACAAACTCACGCCACTTTTTCCCGTTCTGGGCCAACTGGGTGATCGTTATCCAGTCCTTTCATGCGGCTCTTAACTCTTGGTGCACTGACCTTCTCTCGCCCTCGTTTCCTTTTACCCTGGGCCGCATGAAAGTGCTCCTCATTATTTAAGGTGGCTCACAACGGTTTCCAGCATTTTTGGCGCTTCTTCTTTGATGAATGAATGCTACAAACCTTTTTTAGTTGATGGCAAAATAATGTTATCATACAAAAGCCCAATCATCGGTAAAAAAGTTATGGTCATTTTCGTGATGGAAAAGATTACCATAGCAACAGCATTACCTGTTTAAAACACCCTTTATTTTAGTCTTACATGCTTGTAACTCTAAAACGAGTTCATCGAATCGTAGTTAGCATGTTAATACACAACTTTTTGCCAAGAGTAAAAAATTCCGGGTGGAGGTCCAGAACTACTTTTAAGTATTGGAAAATTCAAGGTCGCCCTAAAAGTGTTCCCACGATGTTTCTAAAACTTTGTTAAAAGTTGAATGCTGTTATTCTAATTACAATTAAAAAAAACAAAAAAAAAAAACAATGGGTTTATGGGTTATAAGCGCTTATACATAAAATAAAAGGTGTTCCACAGGTTGTGATGGTGACTTGTAAAGTAGAGATAATGATCAAAACTTGTTGGAGGCCATTATAGTAGAGTTAACTGAGAAGGAATGGTAACATTAATCTGTCAAAGTGCTGAAAAATGATGGAAACTGTTGCCAGGCACCTTAACTGGAGCTGCATCACACAAGTTCCACCCAATACCTTCCACTGGGAATGTCAAACACTAACTGAAGATTAATTTATAACGAACAGTTCCAGATGAAAGCGTTGATCAACAGATTTAAATTGAAAGGCCACACACTATGGGTTTGGTCAACAGAGTTAAGGTGGCTCAAAACAATTTCCAGCACTTTCCAAAAGTTAGAAGATGATAACAACCTGTTCATCAATGACTGGGCAGTTTTTTGATATCATGATTCTAGCTTCAACTGATTAAGGGTGGTTGTCAAAAGTCAAAGAACATTACCTGTCCACAGAGGGGGCAGTCGCCAGTGATCATTTGTTTGGTAAAAACAGTTCACGCCGGGACTTGCACATTTACTTCGTCTCGGCCTGACCTTCCTTTTCTTGGTCTCTGCCTTACGAGATGTCGCCTTTATCTGTTTACTTCGTCTTCTAAGTGGGGATGTCTGCGACTCATCGTCATATTGTTCTTCCCTTCCATCACCTTGGCCTTTGTCATGGGGGCCATTCCCACTGTTTTCCGTGATAGCCTTCTCAGGTATGGTACTGTTGCCATGGTCACATGGACAAGGGTACTCTATTAACCGATCACGCGAGCTGATCTGACGTAGTTTCTTCCTCAGGTCACGCAAAGCTCCCAGGCGCAGTTTCATGCCCTGAATTTTCTCTTTCAGTTTTCCAAGTCTTTCCTCAACGGCTTGTACTCCGGAAGTCCCGTATATAAAACCCACACTTGAGTTTGATTCCGGTCTCACGTTCGTGTCAGGAGTTCTAATTAGGGCTTTTGATTTGGAGCGTCGATTTTGAAGTCTAAGCGCCCTAGCCAATTCTTTCTCGTATCTTCTGGCGCTAAATTCGCTTCCTCTCTTCCTTGTACTGAAGCTGGAGTAGGGAGACCTTTTTGAGCGTCGTTTTAGTTCTCTTGTTAGATAATCCATGCCACTCACAATTAATTCATCTGCACGATAGTGGATAATGTACATAAAGTAAGTATTTTTCTACTGATAGCCAAAAAACCGAGCTGCAGTGCCAAAAAAAATGAAAGATTGTCGAACAAAACTCTAAAAGAAATTTTAACGGCTTCCTCTTTCGAAAAATTTCTTAATTCCTTATTATTTTTGCTGCACGTTTATACAGAAATAAAACAGAGTGATGCATCCGACAAGAAAGAAACCTTATCAATTTTGCGGAAAATGAGTTACAATGATGTACTTCATGTAACCGTGACAAGTATTATTTCCTATAGTTCCTACAATAACAAAATCAGTCAAATCCTGACTATTACACAGCGCTCCCATCAAGCACAACACGTCATGTAGCTTTGCAACTGTTTCAGTAAAACACGCGAGCTCAGTTAAGGTTACACTCACCCTCATAGGGAAGCATGTCGCCTTGATTCACATTCACCTCAGTGCCCGGTCTTGGCTTCATGCAAACGCACATTTTCACAGGGGTGATAGTAGAAGTGTATGCGGTGGGCAGGTTGGTTGGAGCAGTGGCATTTCTTCTGCACTTTCTCAGTCTCGGTCTGCGATCCAGTGTCACGCATTCCCACAACTGGTTGGGTTGACATGGTGACTGGTACTTGGCCTTGGAGCAGATTCTCTCTAATACAGTCAACTTGCTATCTTTGGCTGTTATTGTCTTATTTCTTGACATTCCTTCTAACATGTTCTTTGTTCTCCTCCAGCTAAAATGATACATTGCCAACATTTCTACAATGACCGTGTACAGTATTTCAAATTAGTTACATGCCTACATTCCCACATGTCACGCCACTCAATACGCGTGACAAGGTAAAGAGGGCTGGGAACTCTTTATAATTGACACAATTTATCTGTCAGCTGAGGTTTCTAACGGTTCACCACTAAATTTTCCATTTTCACCATTCGCCAAAACTGATCGCGTGGTAGGATTACGCGCGTGTGCTACAAGCCTACTTAATAGTGAGCTCGAGATTTCAATTGCGTGATACTTGACGACAAGGACGCATCCCGTGGTAACTATCGCCCATAGAAATCGAGAACGGAGAATATTATAGTTTAAGTATAAATCTCATAACCGTTCAATTAAAAAATCGAACGTGGTTTAGCGCGGTCTGTACTCTTATCGACAACGATACGCGTCATCACAGTCGTCAAAATGTTGTGGACTCACGAGGCGCAGCCGAGTGAGTCCTTGATAAGAGTACAGACCACGCTAAACCACATTTCGATTTGTTTTTTTTTACCACAATATCAAGTCAAAGAAAATGTTTTTTCAGAGCGCGAGCTGAAAAAGGCATTGCGTGACACATTGACGCAAGCAGCGTTGTCTGGACTCTTATCCACAACGGCAAATAAGCCGATCAGATCGCGAGATTAGTAGCAAATGTGGTAAAAAAAACTTCATCGAAATCCTCTTCAAAGTCATTTCGAAAACCCAAAGTGAGCTGCCTAGCCAATAGGGTAACGGCAATTGTGATAAAACGCTAGAGTTAAAAAGTGGGCTCGAGTTCTTTCTGGCGTGAGAGTTGATGAGGTCATATATCACGCATAGTAATCTAATTGTTTTGGTCGTTCAAAACTTTATCTAAATTCTCTTCACAGACACTTCGAAAACGTAAAGAAGCAGCCGTCATTTTGTTAACAACTGCTAGGCTACTCACTATATACAACGGAAAAGATAGTAAGTAGGGTAGCCAATCAGAGAACGGCATTCGTGATAGAATGTTAGAAGATTTATACTACCAGGCGATAGAATACCCACGGAGTGTTATCGACTAACTTGTGCATGCCTAACCCATCAAAACAGACCTTTCAGTACAGCTTCATAGCACTTTTGTAGTACTTCTTAATTGGACCGCATTATATTTAGGTTGTCATGAACTTTTACGCTTTGACAAAAACAAACATTTCGAAGCCATGCTTTTGAAAATGCCTCTTTCAAGAGAGTAGATTTCAGCAACTTTTTTAAAGGGGCCGCTACTTTCGGGGGGGGGGGATCATTCTTACTTTCGGGAGAGGGGGCGTTACTTTTGGGATTTAAAAGGAGTGTAAAAAACTAATTCAGTATTTTTGGGGGGGGGAGATGGGGGCGAGGAGGCGTTACTCTCCGGGGTAGGGCCTTACTTTCGGTCCTTTAAGAGTTATCGTTGTCTTTAAAATAACATAATTCGTATTTCACTTCAGCTTACCCTCGAGACCTTTCAATAAGAATAGTGTCCCTCCAGGTAACATGAGTCCTTCTGCGTAAAAACAAAACAAAACAAAACAAAAAAAACAAATGTTAAATACCTTCATTTTCCTTAAGGTTGGCTTTGGTCGTTGCGATCGTTGAGCGATCCGTACGACCACCAATCCAGCTTATGTTTGCCACGCTCGCTGGGAATAAAAGAAAATGCCTGCTAGGAATGGGATCAAACAACGACGCAGGCATTCTGGTATATTTATCTTCGAACTGGATCGCTACAATCTCTGGAAAGTAGTTTTCACATGCCATCTGAGTACGATCGTTGCGAGATAGAGCTGAAGTATATCTCAGTAATCACGGCCACAACTATCGCTGGACCTTTTTTTACTCACCGATCATGTGGCGATCACGTGGTATCAAACCTTGTACAAGAACTCAAGGATTCCGATATTTATTGTCCAAACGTAAAACTAAGCCGAGCAAGCAATAATTGTATCGCCAACTTCTTGCAGCGCCCAGTTAGAATACTTAACGCTTCTTACATGGACTCACCAAACAGCAGTCCTGAATAACTCTTTTTATTGTGAGTGCCTGATTGATGCAAGGCACAAGGAGTGAATCAATCAATCAATCAATCAATCAATCAATCAATCAATCAATTAATTTTATTTAGAGAGGGTGACACGTGACAGTATAAACTGATAAACTAGTGGCCCTCTGCGCTAAAAATCTACGAGTGATTATGAAATAACTAAGTAAAGTACAAAGTATTAACAATAAAAAGTTACAATATGTAAAAAGTTACAATAAAAAGTTACAAAAAAAATATGTATATTTATGTACATAATTAGAATGAATTAAAAATTCCTAAAAATTCCTAACTAAAATAAATAAAAGTTAAAATATTAAGTTAAGTGAACCGTGTACCTTTTTGCTCTCCTTCCATATCTTGTTTTTCTGAAAAGTTTCATAATAGAAACACCGTCCATGTCTTTAGGAATTTTCACGCCGGCGATATCCAAAAATGTGGGTGCCAAGTCAATGTTTAAAACCATGTCTTTCATACTTGATGAAAACAAAATCAATAATCAAGTTAGATTGTTTTCTCATAACGAACGATTAAACCGCTTAGAAAAGGAAAAGTGGAAAGTTACACATCGCAAAAAGAAAGTATTTTCCGTAAGGTACAGTATATAACAAGGGTAAAAGATAAGAACTTTGTGCAAAATATACTAACTCAACTAATTTACCGAAAGCTATTTACAGTTGACGGCGGCAATTTGTCAAGTGTTAAATCTGGATACTCAAAAGATACTTTTGAGTATCCAGATACACATAAAGATACTTTCAGCGTTTTAAAAACTGATTTGTAACCAGGTGGTTCCATGATAAATATAAAAATGTTACACTGATTGAGAAAAGCTATTGAAAATCTTTAAAACCCAACGTTTCGGCTATTAACATAAGCCTTCTTCAGGGGTAATAAAAAACAAACGTTGGGTATTAAAGATTTTTAATAGCTTTTCTCAACTAGTGTAATATTTTTATATTTATCATACTTTAATTAAGCAGTTTGAACTTAACGTTTTGAGAAATCAATTAAGTTTTAAGAAAAACACAATAGAGGGAAAGGTTGGAAATGAGATCTCCAAGTAGTTAATCAGTTGGCGGTATTACGTGAGCTCGTATCCAAACGACCTTGTAGCTTTCATGAAATGTTCCAAACGAGTAGCAGTGTCTAGTTGTGATCTGTCAAGTCCCATAGTCCATACCGATCCTGTTTTTTGGATTGTTGAAAACTCAAAACTTGTTTACCATCCAATGAAATACGGTCGAAGTCTCTTTACGATCACCATTTTAAAACCCGTTGGATTGTCACTCAAATCTTGTACTTAAAAAGTTCTTGTAAGCGAGACCAAGCGTTCTTTCGCGTATGCGTCGGCGGCCACCTTTGGAAATTACCAAGTGGTATCTTGCTTTGTTTTTAGGTAGAGAGCTTTATGCGCGGAAAACTCTGCTAAGCGACCAGATTCTACTGTTTGGACTTGTGATCGTTTACAAGAGCTCATTAATGACCACTTTTTGTTATTGCCAGGTCGTTGCTTGCGGGAACTTTAAATGTATTTCCAAAGTTGGCAAATTTTAATGTGATTAACTCCTGGACTTAAATTAAGAACAATACAAAGCAAACAATTGTTTTTAAAATAAACCTTCATTAGTGATATCGCGAAGCACACAGTCTTGTACCAATATCCACTTGTCTTCTCTCACCTGATATTTTTGGGTATGATGGGACCTCTAACATAAAAAGGTACTCTGATGTCGCTCTCAAATGGCATGGACTTTCCTTTAACCAAACCGAACTGTCCCAGATGATACCCATGATCTGAAGTGAAGAAGATGTACGTTTCGTTTTCAATTCCTAGAGACTGTAGTGTGCGGAAGATTCGCTCGATGGAGTCATCAACCGAAAGCAGAGTTTGAAGGCGGCGGCGGTGTAACAGATCTACAAATTCTATCTTTTGTGCGTCCATCGGGGGCGTCTCCCTTAAGATCCACTGTTTGTCCATCGAAATAAAATTCCAGTTGTCATACCTACGGAAATCAAAAATGTTAGTTTTTCTAAGATGACAAACAACAAAAGCCGTTTTGGCAAATCTTTGTGGAAGTAGCAACATTTTCTCATTCTTATTTGTCCAATCGAAGAAAATGAAATCACTTACAAAGTTGTGACGTTAGCTTGTGACGTTAGCTTCTCAGACTTCTCACTTTAAATTATCGCGTCAACTTATCACGTTAGCTTATCACGTTGGCCTATCACGTTAGCTTATCACGTTAAATTACCGCGTTAACTTATCACGTTAGCTCATCACATTAAATTACCGCGTTGACTTATCACGTTAGCTTATCACGTTAAATTACCGCGTTAACTTATCACGTTTGCTTACACGTTAGCTTATCACGTTAGCCTTGTCGCCATAAGGAGACGTCATGATACCACAGGGGGCATACACTATAGTTAAGCAGGATGAGAGTAAACAAAGGAGTGAAAAGAAAAAAATCTCTTAGTTTTTATATAACACAATGTCTGATATAAAACATAAAGAAATCTGTGCAAAGCGCAACGATCTAGGCGCTACTGTTTCTTAGGACATGTGGATGGCAGTCGTCCGTCAAGTTCAGATAAGAAAAAACAGTAGGAGACAAGGAATATACGGGTAAATTAGTTAAGTCTTTTCATTGCTTTATTTACTCTTATTCTACTCAAATAAAGCGCATGCTCCGTGTGATGATACTCGGTTAAACTATCGGAGACGAGATCACTTCCTGTTGCCTAGCTGCATAGGCTTCCAGAATTCCCAATCTTTTCGATCTGTCACAAAGTTACACAATATAACACCATATACTGACAAACCAAAACCACGTCAAGATGCCAAACGGCGTTTTGTTCGGTACAACTAAAAAATTCTCTGACACAATTGGCCTTGTGGGTATAAGGACATTAAAAAATCCCAGTCCAACGTTAAGTTGTTAACGAACACCAGTTATAACCAGAAGTTTATAAGCATTTAAATTTCTGATGTAACACCTAATTCTCCCCGCGGCACAAGGCAAGGTAGCACTACAGATGACAATCTCGTTTCCATTGCCCGCGCGCTTTCAGCCAATGGTAGCCGAACACCCGACGCTGTGAACAAAATAAAGACCGGAACCAGACAACTCTGGTTCCGATTTGATCAAGCGTATGCGTCCAAATTCATTAATGGTTTCTGGGACCCCAATTCTTGCTTCTGACCGAAAAGGATCATGAACGGGATTGACGTCATTACATACCTCGGAGCACGCGCATTGGGAAATGCGTTGCTATACTGAGGAGCAGCAGTCTCAGGGCCATGAGGAGCCGAATGACTCACGACAGCGAGAAACGGACTGTCAGGCTTGGCTTGTTTGGTTCGCCGTATAAATGATATGCTGCGGTTAGTGATAAGATCAGTGAAGTAATCTTCTTTATAACTCATCTTGTGCCGCTCTTTATACGTATTGTGTCTCAGAGTGTAGTTGTAGAACTTGGAGTTGTGTAGCAATCCTTCCCATCTGTTCCAGCCCACTGGAACCCAACTCCCGTCATATTCGTTCAGATACTTGCCAAAATAACCTTGGAGAAAAACCAAACGATCCTTTATACTACGGCTAAACGTACACCAGCGGAACTGGGGCCTGTTTCTCGTAAGCCCCGGAAACTTTTCGGGCCCGTAAAGCCATGTTTAGTTTATCTTTATCTACAAACGGAGAAGTGTATACACCTGAAATGTCTTGTACGAAGGGAACCTCTGTTCATACTAAGAATATGTGAATAAAACAGCTCTGTAATCATAAGGTTGGAGATTTTGCCACGGCTTTCCGGGTGCGAAAACTTTTCGCGACCTTCCAGAAACGGGCCCCTGGTCTTAACAGTTTAAAAGCAGCTTCCAAAGCAAATTGCCTTGCAGCGGTATTAGTACGTAATAATGCCACTGCAAATACCGTGTAATATTGACCTGTGAAGCCAATGGTACTTTTCGCCACACGATTTCGCGATTTAAAGAAAAAATCGCGAAATTAGAGTGACGCGAACAATAAGTGTCGCGAACATGACATGACGCGAAAATCAAGCGACTCGCATCATTTCACTGTTGACATATAGTCCCGCCCTTGCGTTTTTGTTAATTTTGACGTTATTGTACCTTTGATAAAGTCGGTTTACTAAACTCAAAGACATGTTAAAGTAACATTGCTAAGGAAATAAATTGTACTACTCAAAAACGCTAAAGTGATTCATAATACAAAATTTTCGCAAAGTCATGGAATTGAAGTGTCGCGAAATATGCGCACCTAAAAATCGCGAACATTTCATGTAATAAGGTAGCTGGTCAATAGCCAGGTATTCAGACTCGCGAGGAACTGAGTGTAAGGAGGATGCTGGCTACTACATGTAAGATTTGTTTTCTTCGCAGTTTGAAAAAAAGAGAATAAATTAACGAGACCAAAATACGGTTTTCGAAAGTTATGCTAGATCGCGCAATTTTAAAGTATTTTGTTACATTTGAATACAAAGTACTCTTTAAAATTCGATCTGGGGGTTGAAAACTAAAGGAAAACAAAAGGTTGAATGAAATGCCGTAAAATTTCGGTTATAATCACTGGGGCTAAACAACTCAGTTCATAGGGGGCTTCGGGGAGGCTTGTAAACGCAGGGGCTCGTATACGGGGCGGAGGCCGGGAGGGGTTATAAGCAGCATAATTAAAATGAGGAGTATGGAAAATTGCGAAATGTAGAGAATGCAGATTCTTTTAATTTTGCGGCAGATCATGGTTGATACTTGTTCACCCATTCACCTACCCTCACAGTACCCGGTTAGAAAGGTTCGAAATCTGCGCGAAACCTTTTTTCGGTTTTAAATTTAAGAAAGTCATGCTTTCAGACAAATGGCCTTATGAAAAAGCTATTTAGAGACTTCCTAATTGGATAACAAGGTAAAAATTCAATTAGTTCTTATTAACACAAGTGGGTGAGGATATCTTACTACAGAAGGAAATCGAATTTAGCGCGAAGTGAAAATCAAATTAACCCTTTCAGTAAAACCAGAAGCTTGGCAATGAACCAAGTTTGGAAAAGGGAAAGAAAAATAATAACATCCGCATCTGTTTTCGGAGTGGACTAGACCCATGCTTTGAATGATCATAAGAGATGGTAAAACCGTGTGATCGAAAAAAATGAACCGCAAATGCAATCAGTTCATGTTGAATATGTACTTAGCAGATGGTCCATAACATGCTGGATACTTCTGCCACATGCTTACATGTTGATAAACGGCCATTGAAGTCCCCGCACATGTATGAGTTATTTATTTACTTATTTCATTCCAGCCAGTCTTTTGTAAAAAAAAAAATGCTTTAGTACTTTCCGTGATCAGGGCGTGCTCCATGGCAATATAAATGCTAAAGCTGCTAAGCTTCAACGGATGTTTTAAAAATATCTCATTTTCAAACGTTACTTCTCATTTCTGTTTTAATCGGTCTTATCAAGAACCTAAACTCTGTTTCGTGTCATGCTTACAACCGATATTTATTTCTATACGTTTATATTATTATAGTTCCTAAAAGCGCTTTCTAACTTTCTTTATGAATTAAGACATGTTGGAATGTGTCTGGGCAGTCTGACAGAGGTTTAAAATCCCATTAGCACTTACTTTCGTCAAGGCACTCAATTATTATCAGTGGTTTCAACAAGGTTTTCCAAAGACAACTCTTGTCCGGTTGAATATCATCATTCATGAGATAAAAATTCGTTTGATGTCAACAAACATTACCAACTTGTTAAAATTTTATTTATTTCAAAGTCTAAAAATATTGCAACGAAAGAATGCAAACATGGCATCACAACCGTGATAGATTTATTACTTTTCCATGAGTTGTGAATCGAGAGAATGTATTGTTTTAACTGAACTTACACGTGGTCTTGGCAAAAGGCACCTAGTACTGAATTACAATGTTTTCTGGGTTTTTTTTTTAGCATAGTAGGAAATTTGTATTTTTTTTGTGGTTTTGTTCAATGAGGAGCGTTAGTCAATGCTCTTTTCATTGAGGGACACTGTTTCTCGATTTACTCACTGGCATTTCCTTTTATAATCATTACTTCACTGTACAAAAAATAAAACCCTCTGGAATCCAAAATTAGTACAATCGCGCCTCCATTGCGGTTTTTCTATGGGTAATTTTAGCATGCTAGCTGTCATTATCAACATACCGTTCATTTCGCAGCTTTGATCGCTTTACTTCATTTTCATATTTTGTCAAGTATTTTTCTCTGACTAAGCCCTGATCAGACTATACTGATTTTAAGACAATTAATCATTGTTTCGTTCTTCATATTGAAATCGCTGCCATGGGCTTGCAAATGTATTCCGGGAAACCTTCCAACAGTTTTTTCCCTGATCACTGAATAAATTTTGAAACATCAGTCTTGAGATGGGTCGCGTGTGACTGGCAAATGGGGAAATTCTCTCTCTTTTTCTTAAGGAAACGCTTGCCAGGTAAAAAGTCAAAAGTTTAATATCACCTTTAGTTGGTCTGTCAGTTCAGTGTTCTGCCACAGTAAAGTATGAACAAGTGCTGGGCTGTGGCCTGGGCCGTACAGACTCTTTCAGTTGAGCTAACAGACTTTTCTGTGTATGAAAAAGTTTCCGTGTATTTGGCGTCACGTGAGGCCGGCAAGAGAAATGACACAGGCATAGAACTGGATAGCAACTTTTGGCATATGTGTTCCAAAGGGCGAACTTTACTGATTACAACTAAAATGCCTGCAGCTGAAGGGGATGTGTTTACTCGTTGGCATTCAGTCGCTAGCTCTTGCTTGTCTGACTAATAGCTTACGGTACACTTTAACATGTCACCAAGCATTTGAAAGGTGCTTCCCCCTTTGTTTTCGACATAAACTCCGATTTTATCAGTTGGCTGCAATCCAAAAAAGAAAATGATTCCATCATGGAACTCTCTCAGACTGCCCATGGTTTTTAATAGTTTTCACACAATATAGAAATTAAAACAATATATGTTTAGAAAACAGTCCCAAGAAAATACGCGGGCTGATTGGTTAAAAATCGTGTTTCTATAACTCGATGGACACACAGAACTAGCACGAGCTGTTGTCGAAATGATGGCGTGAGCAAAGAGAATTTACACTTTGATAATCAAAGTTAACAAGTTGTTTTCCTTGTTTTCGTCGCGGTGTTTTCTAAAAGAAATAGAAAACATGTTCTCCGTGTTTCTATCGAGTTATAGAAACACTCGTAAAAGTTTGGGAAAACTCGAAAAAGCTATGGAAACAATCGCCTGCGGCTCGTGTTCCAACAGCATTTCTCGTTCTCCCAAACTTCCACTCGTGTTTCTATTTAACAATTAGATTATGAGCTCGAGATTTCTATGAGGTGATAGTTGATGAGGCCGAATAGAAATCGAGAGCGAATAATCTAATTGTTTTAGTAGAATTCTAACTGACATTAACGCAAATAACGGTTTCCAATTAATTTTCAACGCTTTATTGAACTTTACGCTTTAACAAAATCGCACGCATTGAATTGTCCTTGGTTAATTTGCAGTTGTTTACGCGCGCGCACCCGTTTTTTCAATAATTTCAACTTTTTAAAGTCAAGAATCGGTTAATGTCCTTCTTNTTTAACAAAATCGCACGCATTGAATTGTCCTTGGTTAATTTGCAGTTGTTTACGCGCGCGCACCCGTTTTTTCAATAATTTCAACTTTTTAAAGTCAAGAATCGGTTAATGTCCTTCTTTTAGTCTTCTCAGGAATTTAATTATCCATTTACATCTAAACTTTCTTCCAAAACTTCAGAAAAACGATAAAAACGTCGCATTTCGTGGACTACCGCCAGCCACTGCACTCTAATGGCTGATAGTATACGAGTAGCTCAGCCAATCAGATTGCAGCATTTGCATTAGTATACTAGTAGAATTCTACTAAAACTCGATAGAAACACGGTACATGTTTTCTATTTCTTAATTGGAAACTCTCCTTTGCCTCCACCTCAAAGATATCTTTTGTCCCGACTCGTGCGAGCAAGAGTGATGTGTATTTTTGGGTGATATTTTCCAGTGCCGGGGAAACTTGAATAGCATTTATCTTACTGTATGTCGATCAACTCTGGTCAGTGCTGCTTTTATTTTCCAAGCAATGTCCCTTGGACATGAAATTTCGTTTGTAAAACAAGTTTTGTTTTTATTTTGGATGTTCTTATGATTTCTTTCGCTTAAATCAGTAATACCATGTATTGTGATGGAAATACCTTAATAAATTATTGTTGTTGTGTTTTCAGGAGCAAAACTTAAAATTTTGACAGGAAAATCGTTTAATGATCAATTTGAGCGACGCAGATGCCGGCGATACGAACTGTACTGCATGATTTCTATACACAATAAAGAAAAACTAGAGAAAGACAGATACTTTCATGTACAAGCAGTATTTGGCGCCAAAACAACCATTGGTGATGCTTTTGGCCCATTTTAATATCGGAAGTCCTCCAGAAATTTGATAGCAATCAAGAGATAGCACTGGGGGCCAAAAACTGATCAATTTGCGGATGTTTCACAAGGAGAAACTATTTACGGAAATCTCTCTCGTTATTACGTGCCGTGAATATTTTGCCAAGAAGAAAATAAGTGTTATAATTGGTCACGCACTGAAGATTTTAAACATGTAAGACAACTACTTAAAAGGGATTGACTAGGTGCAGCCTGAGAAATAAAACGACCCACAATACTAAAGCTTATGAAAACGAAAATTTTAAACTGTTTTCCATGGTCCACTGATTTGATCAGATAAGACAACCTTAAAAGCTAAAGTCGGCATTCCTTGAATAACTTGTCTGAAAATCACAACCAAACGCCACTTAGGAACAAATGAAAACAATACAATATGGCGAATCGCCCATGAATCAATATCATGAACCGCAATGGAACTTATAACAAAAAATAACAGTTATTTAAAAAACGAGTCACACTGACTAGTTAGACCAAGACTGAAAAGTGCTTTGAGTTAGAGTTTTAAGGACTAGACTTTGCTTTGTGCTTAGCTTTTAGCTTTGCCTTGTGCTGTTTTAGCTCTGCGGAGTGAACATCACAAAACCCGCGCGAGATCTTTTCAGTGAAAATATCTAGTTTTGAGAGATGAAGTGGCTGCGTAAGAAGGTTTGAGTGATAATCACCTAGCCAAACCATCAAGAACCGTGGGAATAGATAAACAGGTCAACATTACAGTAATCCTAACTGAGCGGCAGCCGCGTCGCATGACTAATATCAAATCCCACTTTGTTGTATTACCGTTTTGATGAATTGGTTATAGCAAGTCAGTACTACAATCATTGACTTACCAGAAACAATATACAATAACTGTGCGAAACAATAGGCCAGCCATTGAAAATCAACGAACAATACAATGTGTGCGCTATTCCGGTAAGCTGTGGAATAGGCCTTTGTGACAACAACTTTGAGCATATGTTGAACAAGTTCCATGTTACTCGGTGGGAGTACCTGGTGTCGATTTCATAATTTTGATCACGTCGTGGTTGCTTTTATTGTCGTCTTGTAAAAGTTAAATCAGGAGGGCGCGATGATTAAGCTTAATTAAAGCCGTCTGAAGTGTACAGTCTATAGTTCACTTACCCGTTACATATCCTGATAATTCCAGGTACCTTGCGTAACTTTTTCTCTCCGGTCCTTTCCTCCACGCTGGAGAGGAGCAATTCAAATTATTGGTGAACGTGTGGTGGTTATGAGCGTAGGAACCTGTCAAGATGCTCGCGCGGGAAGGACAACACATCGGAGTTGTGACGAACGCGTTCACAAAGTCAGCACCTTCTCGTTGCAAAATTTTCTGCGTTTTCGTCATGACATCTGGTGATCCTAGTTCCCTATCTAAGTCATCTGCGAGAATAAAAACTATGTTGGGTCTACTTGACGATCCTGTACCGCTTAGAACATTATTCTTTGGCTTGCGTGCAGCTGACGACAAATCACACAACAGGAGCACAACGAAAACCACGTAGGTTTTCGCCATTTTGGATCAAAACGAAACTCCGATGACTGTGAATTTGGCTTGATTGTTTGAAGAGGCAGAAATCCAGGCCGCCAGGAATAGAAATCTAAAGAGGAGATAACGAAAACATATCAGACAACATCACTGATCCATTTTGAAGTGCGAATGGCTTCAAATATTTCAATTGTCGGTATGAAATTACTTTTGAATCCCGCGATGATCGAGAAGATATGCAAAATAATTTCAAATAAAACGGACAAATTCCCGCTGGGATTTGGTGGGAAATTTGTCACTCGATAAAAATACTCGGTGATTGATTAGGCACAGACTGTAACTTAAAGGGAATGAAACCTCATGAAGGAGACGAAAATGGTCAGCACATATCACACGGAAAACCTGAGTAACTTCCCTTCCAGCACACACCTTTCCGCGAATTTCCGCAGGGAATTTGATGTTGAGGTAATTAATGTCTTGAAAGCGGAGCTCCAAGTCTGATATAGCTGTCTGGGAGGAACTTTTGACCAAAAAAATGCGCACGGTCACCAACAGATAGCAAAGCGGAATAATACGTAATGTAAGCACCCCTGTATTGTGTCGAGGAATTTGGTTGTAATTTAGGGGTCGAGATTTGAGTCATCTATAAACCGGAAACAGTGCTTGAGAAATGAAAACAGATCAACTGATAAACATAAGACGGGTGGGAAGTGGAAATGATAACCCTGAAAAAGACAAACAAACAAACAAAAAAACTGAGTATCTTGTTTAAGGCCGGCAAAAAAGTTCTAAAAAAGAAGGGAATGCGACAACGTGTGTTTGATTGAATAGCAGAATATGTCATCAGTAGCAGACCACCTATCGATCAATCTTTGCAGATCGCTTTTCTTACCAACGGACACAATAATAGAGAGGGAGTTATGTGAGGTTTTTTGGTATGGTTTTTGTTCGTTTTATTAGCACTTATTTACAGTTGTTCTCTCATGTGGCTCTCTTATAAGATACGTAAAGTAGCTTTAGAGTTACAGCCTTCAGTTTTTCAATTGAGACGACTTTAAGACTTAAAGATTGTTATGAATATATATCATTTTTTATTTTATCACCGAGCCAAATTATTTGCATTTCAGACGTCTAATAATCCTGACAAACGAAATCCAGTGCTGAGGAACTGATACGACTTCAGTTTATTGTTAAGAATTTTAGAGTTTCCACCACAAAAGAATTCCCTCACGGTGAGTCGCACCGGGACAGACTACAAAATATCATGGTAAAGGTTAAAAGGTATTTTGAAATTTTTAAATATGGAAAGGCCGTACTAATTTTTTAAATCCAAAACTGGAAATTATAAAATATCTCTTCTCTCGATTAAAAATGTTCTTGCCTGCCTTAAGCTCTGACTGATCTGATGTGATGTCACGTGGTTGACTTAGTTTCTCCACCTCGGTCTCTAACATCTCCAGACGTTGCTTTGGAACTAGCTAAGCAATACCAACTTTGGTTTGAGCCAATTTGGTTTAAAGAGGATGTAGAGTAGCTTGTGTGCTTCAGACAAAGGAATGAACGAGGAAAGAGGTGCTTCCCCACCCTCTCCGGTTTGAGCGCATTTGGATCCGCCCGTATTAGTCAGCAATTCATAAAACAACATAATGGGTAATATGTACACTAAAACAAGTTAATACAGTTGAATCCTCCAATTTTGCGCTCTGGGGAAAAAAGAAAAATAGTCGAAATAGGTCAAATAGCGGGAGTTCGAAATAACAATTAATATGTAATCAATATGGTGGAATGTATTTTTTTTTTATCGACCAAGGGTCGGAAAGGATTACCAGAGGACTTCGTCACTGAGTGCAAGATTAAAGTGCAACAGGAGCCATAATGAAAAGCGCTAATTATGTTTTTCCAGCTATGTTCTAACGTGATCTGACGCACATAGTAATGATGAAGATTATTTTTCAAACCTACCAAAGGAGTTCGAAATAAACAGGGTTGATTTTAGGCCAAGGGACTAAAATCAGTTCGAGACGACCAGGAGTTTGAACAAACGAGTTCGACATAGCCAGTGGCCCCTCCCCTAGATCCGCCACTGATGGCCGATAGTAAATGACTGGAAAAACAAGGACTCAGATCCCCGAGGGCAGATCCAAGAGAAATGGAGTTGAGTTCGAAATAACGGGGAATAAGAAATAACTGTGTTCGAATTAGTTGGGTCCAACTGAAAATGTGGATATAGGAAGCGCAAATACGTCGAAGACGGTGTGAAATGAGTACAACGAATGATGGGATTATGCGAAAATAGTGGAGAGAAAAATATGTTCTAAAAGAAAAATATCTTTAGTGACTTTTCGTGTGTACCACATGACTTAAAAGAACCAAGAAGACTTTTTTGCTGACACTACATGGGGTGCATCCAGGAACATCTCAGATTCGTCCTGGGTGCATCGTACATAGCCTGCGTAGCTTTGCGGTTTTTTTTTGTGGCGCGGAACGTATAGTTTTTGTCAATGCTAATGAAAACGTCATACTAAATTTAGCCTCTCACCAACGTTTCAGCCTCTGATGTGTAGGTTTTCCTTATGAAATTCGTGTCCGAAGAAGCCTAAAATTCGACACCGTTGCCACCATTTTGAACAGTATTCAGCAGCCAGGCCGCGTTTTCGTGACGTCATTCCGTCCTCGTCCAAGATATTTTATTCCAAATGGCTTCCGACTACCGCTTACTAGTAGGGTTATGGCTGCTCTTGAGATGTATTATTTTGAACCAAACATGCTCCAAACCCCGAAAATGATAGCAGTGAAGATTGTGAAGTGGATAATCGCTTGGAAAGAAATACACTGATTTCGCTGACCTTGTGAAGGATGCAAAGTCGGTTGCAGGTTTTCCTCCTTCCCGCCAATTTCGAGTCGGACGGAATAACGTCACATAAACATGGTCTGGCCGCGGAGGACATTATCAAAATGGCGGCCTCTGAAGTCGCTTCTTTCGAAACGAATTTCCTCAGGATAGCGGGCACTTCAGAGGCTGAAACTTCGATGAGTGGAAAAGCTGACTGTTTACTTGCTATAGGTGAAGGCAAAAAAGTGAGCTTTTTGGAGTGACCTCCTCCCTTAAGGAAGCTGACAACAGTTTCCAGCACTTTTCTAACAGCTACACTTTGAAGGATGAATACTGCCACTGTTTAACAAGTGATAGTACTATAATGGTATCATACAAATGCCAATCATAGGCAAACAAACTGACGTCATCCTTTTTATATGAGGTTGCCATAGCTACATCAATATGACCTGCTAAAAAACCCTCAATTTGAGCTTTAAGCTCTTATAACTCACAACCGAGCTTGGTGACTCCCATTTCTGTGGAGTGGGTGGGTTTTAATTTTCGAAACTTTAAGGTGGCTCTGAACCCACTCCACCGATTTTTCTTTTTAAACTTTGCAAAAAGTTGCATCTTATCATGATGATCACAATTCGATAATAAATCAAAGAGTCCTAAGGCGGGAGAGTCCAAACGCGTTAACCCTTTGAATACCAACTACGCATATATGCGTAATTAATGGTCGTGCTCTTTGTACCACTTGTGACGTCATCAATTTAAATGTCATCAGATATTCTTGATAAGCTGATAGTAGTGCTAGGCTAGCCCTTTCCGCACAATGCTCAGGTTTAGATATTGACGACATTCCGACGTCGCAAATCGAAAACAAGGTTATCAGTTTTGGCGCAAAAACGGTGGTAAAATGGTCCACAACGGCTATGATTGATCAAGGTCCATTTCTAGGCTTCGCCCGTAATTAACATCCAACTTTTCACTGCAGCCAGAAAGAACATACAATGCAAAAGGTAGCCAGTGTAAAAGGGCAGAGAAAAACAGAAAGGAAAAGTCCAAATTTTGGCTTATGCGCATGCCCGTAATTGAAGTTTTGCTCAATTTTGTACCTAATCCTCGAAAAAGCTCTCCAACTTAGGCTTATTTAGCGTCATGGCAGCTAAAAAACCTGACTAAACGGTTAAAAACGGTATTTTTTGGCAAAAGTTTGGTATTCAAAGGATTAATTAGAATGGTTATTCCTCGTTCTAAAAACGTGAATGCCCCAAAGCGCAAAACAAGATGAATATTCTTCGTTCTCAGAGCGTGAGAGCCTAATAGCGCTATATACGGAGTCCTAAGGCGGGAGAGTCAAAAAGCGCTAATTAGAATGTATATTCCTCGTTCGAAACGTGAATTCCCAAAGCGCAATACACGATAAATGTTCTTCGTTCTTAAAGCGTGGAGCCCAATAGCGCCACATACAGTGTATACTCTTCGGAGTCCTAAAGCGGGAGAGTCCGAAAGCGCTAATTAGAATGTATATTTCTCGTTCGGAACGTGAATTTCCAAAGCTCAAAACACGATGAATATTCTTCGTCCTCAAAGCGTGAGAGCCCAATAGCGCTATATACGAGTCGTGCGAAAAGGCAGATGCCATTATGCGAGTCGCGTTAGTTCGTATATATTAGACAACATGATGTTGAAATGTATTCAATCAGCAAAACAGCAAATTAGCACTTTTCGACACTCCGGCTTTAGGACTATAGCGCTCTCGAGCTCTCGCGCTTTGAGAACAAAGAATATTCATTGTGTTTTTCGCTTTGGGGCATTCACGTTTTTAGAACGAGGAATATACATTCTTATTAGCGCTTTTGAAGTCTTCAACTTTAGGACTCCGAAGAGTATACACTGTATATGGCGCAACCCCCAAAATCGTTTTTCGCTAAAACAAATCTAGACTTTATTTGAAGCATTTGGGCGAGGAAATTTTTGAATTTGGTCGAATCCTCGATTTTCTATGCCCTTTCAAAGTCGCGCTTGAAGTGTTTCACGACCGCGTTTTAGGGAGTCTGGGGCGGCGGTACCTGATGACGTCTACCCAGGAACCAAACACAATTCACCCTTGTCACACGGCGGCCTTATTGGATATCACTAAGAGAAAATGAGGGGACAGACAGGGACATTGAGGGCGTTGGCTGGGATATGTCGATTCCACTAAAGTTATTTTTAGTTTTAGACGGAAACGGAAGTCTATTTCCCCAGACGTCCGCATGATACCTTTCACCCGTCGATCAGTGAATTTTTAAAGGGCGGTCTGCGTGGAAATACGTTTTGTCAGTAGAAGCCAACCTCGTTCCCAGGGTCTCTCATCTTACCGCCCCTTGGACCCTGGGAACAAGGTTGAGTAGAAGCGCGTAAAGAACCACAACCTATTTGGAAAAAAAACGCTGGGTGAAAGAAATATCAAAGTTTTTCCCCAGAAAATTTCAGTCAAAGAAATTAGCGATGACAACAAGAAAGAATTTATTTGCTTTCATTTGTATAACAACATGCAGAGAGGTATCGTATTGTTCGATATTGAAAACATATATAACATGGAATACTGTTTCAAACTGTCGCGATCCTGATACCTCTAAACGCATCGACGAAAGAAATCTTAGCCCACCGAAGAAAACTATTTTTGTTCCTAAGGCAAAACTATTTTTGAACCCAGCGGCAAAATTACCCTCAACCCAGCGACAGGAGAATATAATTCTGGCCGAGCTGCAAAAGAGTTCGGAGGGTAGCTAAAATATTTTGAATCTGGGAATCAAAACAACTCGAAGCCTAGCGATTAGCAACAGAAATCAACTTGAATACTATATCACAACAAAACAATTCCCAACCATACGACAGAAGTCTATTTGAACATCCTGTAGCTCGGAGCGAAGCGATAACCGAAAGAAACCCGGGCAGAAATAATTTTGAATTCACAGAGAAATAGAACAATTCACAGCGCGTTAGTGATCAGCGACAGAAACAATTTTTCTGTTCAACGACAAAATAACTCGCATTCAAGCGACAAAAAATGATTTTGTACCAGCAACTGAAGTTCATTGAACTGAGCGAAAGGGACAACTTCTTCTGACTGCTTTTCCAACAGAGAAAACCAGAAAAAACGGAGGTGTCATCTTCGTTTGATCATGTTCATGCCACGTTTTCTTCACCTTCTGTTAATTTGCACTAATGTAAGCTTTCTCTCTTCAGTGTGCGGAGAAAATCTCATTGTCCTTGCCAACATCAGTGTCGAAGTCCATCAGCTTGTTAACTCCATTTGAAAA